CAAGTGCTGAGATTTACAGGTGTGTGCTACCACACTTGGCTATAATTCTGATGATGTGCACCTCCCCGCATTCCACATTCTGAAAGTCTCCATCTTTGGGGGCAGTCACTTCTCTGAGAATGTATACCATCACGGACCTGTGTAGCCCACTATTATTTTTTGCCTTTATTTTTTTCTTTTTAAAAATTTTATTACTAGGGCTGGGGATTTAGCTCAGCGCAAGGTCCCGAGTTTAATCCTCAGTACTGGAAAAATTTTTTATTAGTACATAATTACATCCATTGTGAGGAATTGGTACAGGTACACAACAAATCTCAATTCTTTTTTTCCCCTTCCCTTCCACCCCTATTTAAAATGTTTTCTAGTATCAGATTTTTTTATTTTAGGGCTGGGGATTTAGCTTAGTGGTTTCGCTGCCTGCTGTGCAAGCGCAAGGACCTGAGTTCGATCCCTGGTACCAAAAAAAACCCCAGATTTTTTTATTTTATAAGTCTTTATGAGGTTAATTATCATAAACACAGATTAACAGCTAGACTAACAGGTCAAAAAACATATAAAACAATTATACTAAATCAAGGTATACTTCTAGATATATTGGCCATGCTGGATTACAATGAATATTGTCTCTCTCTCTCTTTCTTTTTCTTTTCTCTCTCTTTCAACTAATGCCTGTCTTTTATTTTGCACTTTATTTATAACTTGGGTTTCCCTATGCAATATTTAAGCTTGTACGTCTGATTTACTTCATTTAACATTATGGCCTCAAGGTGCATCCATTCTCCTACAAATGACTGAAGTTTATCCTTCTTTATGGCAGAATAGTATAAAATGTATAGACACCATGTTTTCTTTATCCTTTCGTCTTTTTTTTTTTTTTTTTTGGTACCAGGGATCGAACTTGGGTCCTTGCACTTGCAAGGCAGGTGGCAGAACCACTGAGCTAAATCCCCGGGCCCCACGTCCTTTTGTCTATTGATAGGCACATATGCTGCTTCCAAGATTTAGCTATTATGAATTGTCCTGCTATAAACATAGGCATGGATGGATCACTGTAATATGATGTCTTTAACTCTTTTTTTTTTTTTTTTTTTTTTCTTTAACTCTTTTGGGAAGATACTTAGAAAGGGAATATCTGGGTCAAATGCAATTTCTAGTTTTAGTTTTTTGAGGAATCTCTATACTGATTTCCATAGTGGTTTACCAGTTTACAGTCCCAACAACAATGAAAAAAGGTTCCTTTTCCCCACAGCCTTTCCAGCATTTGTCATTGTTTGATTTCAGGAGTGTGATGGGTGTTGTTGTTGTTGCTGTTTTGAATCAGGGTCTCCCTTTGTAGTTCAGGCTGGCCCTGAGCTCACTATGTAAGGCAGGCTGGCCTTGAACTTGCAGCAATCCTCCTGCCTCAGCCTCCGGAGTGCTGGGATTACAGGCGTGTGCCACTATGCCCAGCAGGTGTTGTTTTAATATGCATTTCTTCAATGGCCAGTAATGTTGAAGATTTTTTCACGTGTTTATTGGCCATTTATATTTCTTTATCTGAGAAGTGTCGATGCCTATATTTTTATTGGGTCTTTGAATTTGGGGAGAGGTCTACTTTTTGGAGTTCTTTATATATTCTAGATATTAGTCTTGTATGAAGAGTAGCTGGCAAAATTTTTTTCCATTCTGTACGTAGTTTCTTCACTCTGTTGGTGGTTTCCTTTGCTGTGCAGATTTTTAATTTGTTGTGATCGCATTTGTTGAGTTTTGGTGTTATTGTGCAACTGGGATTTTCTGTTCAGAAAGTCTTTGCTTGTGGCTATGTCTTCAAGAGTTGTATTTATTCAGCCGAGGATTTAGCTCAGTGGTCCTGCCACCTCCGTTGCAAGTGCAAAGTCCCGAGTTTGATCCCTGGGACCCCCTCAAAAAAGTTTTACTTATTTTGTCTTCCAGCAGATTATATTTGTTTTAATTTTTAGATCATCGACCCATTTTTATTTTAGGTTAATGCATGCTGAGAGATAAGGGTCTGGGTTCGATACTCGCCATGTGGAAAGCCAGTTTCCCCAGCACCATTTGTTGTTGTTGTGGGGTTTGTCTTCCTTTGGTACTGGGGCTCAAACTCAGGACCTTGTGCTTGCCAGGCAGGCTCGGCACCACAGAGCTAAATCCCTAGCCCTTCCCCACCACCATTTGTTAAACGGGCTATCTTTCCTCCAGTGAAAGTATTTTGTAGCCTGCTATTCTTCTGGTCTTAGTCATTGTTTCTGTGAACTTTTCTCTTTGTTCCACTTTTCTGCTCTTTGTACTCTACCTTCTTTTTTCTTTTGTACCGGCGATCGAACTCGGGTCCTTGGCTTGCGAGGCAGGCAGTGGAACCACTGAGCTAAATCCCCGGCCCTTTTTCTTTTTTCTTTTTTTTTTATGCGTGATGATCATAACTGCACGCTGCACGTTGATAATGGGACATTCCTACAACCCATGCCGGTGATAACAACACTTTCAAGGTTCTTTGTAAGTAAATGATGCAACTGCATCGGTTGAAAAGAAACAGATACAATTTCTCCTCGCCTTTCACTGGCTGAGGACAACTCGGTTTGAAACAGTTTTAAACATAACTCTTGACCAGTAGATGGCGCTCTCCTCTCTCAGTGTGAACCAGTTATGAATGAATACTCTCCCCAACACTCCCCTCCCCCCAACCTGGTTGTAGGAAATACTAATCCAAGCCTGGCTGTGGAGAATATTAATCCTTCCTCGATTCCTTTCCAGGTCGTTTGAATTCATCCTCGTCTCTCCATTCCGTGTCTCGTTCAGGGCCTCTCCATATGTCTCCTGGGTTGTTAGAATAATATGATCTCTGCCTCTGATATCCAGTTCTAACTCACCCAGCACATTTCCATCATATTAACTTTCCAAAAACACATTGTCAATGCCCGGCTTTAAAATGGTGGCAGGCATGGGCTGAGGAGAGAGGAATTATGTGAGGGCGAGGAGATGAGCAGAAAGGTCAAGGCAGAACAGTGGAGGCCTTCTGCAGCCACTGGATTCTTCTCATTTGGCTGGAGCAGGGTTAGGCAATGAGCTAACCTGGGAGCCTTGCGCCTCCTGCCAAGTAGGCCAAAGAGAATTACTATATGGTTTTGAAGGTCGGAGGATTAGAGTTGTGCTTGCAGGATTAGACAAGGTGTGTGGATGGGCTGAACGAAAAGAAAAAGAATCTAGCAGAAAAGTCACCTCACCATATGAGGAAGGGGAGAAGCATCATACACCTTCAGCTGGCAGTACCTGTGGGTTCCCTATCTGCAGATCCAACCTACTGCAGACTGAAACCATTCAACAAAAATACCGTGTCTGTACTTAACATGTACGGACGTTTCTGTTGTAATCAGTCCCTAAACCATGCAGTGTAACATCTACATAGCATTTACACCGTATTCTGTATCATTCGCGATCCAGAAACCATTTACATGGGAGGACGTGTGTGGGCTGTATGTAAATACAATGCCATCCTACAAAGGGAGCTGAAATCCTCAGACCTTGGGATTCATAGGGCTTCCTTGCACAAATCCCCCGTGCACACAGAGGGACGAATGTACCTAGCAATTTACAGTTTGGGAAATTCAGAGGAATAATTCCTTCACCATGAAATCTACCAGTGGAATTTTAAATACCAGAATCCATGTCAGGAAACCTCTAGGCCAGGAGGAAAGCCCACTTGTCCCAGTGTTCTTCGTGCAGGTGGATGTGGGGACCAGCCAGTACCTTGCCTAGCTGCATCTGTGAGGATGAGCATGTGCCCCGAGCAAAGCCACTACAACTTGTCTTCAAGCAAGAAGCAGAAAAAAGAAAAACAGCTTGTGATTCTTTTGGTGCCGCAGACTTTCAATGTGTTATTATTCAACACTATGGTGTCAGATTTAGATTTTCCACCTCGAGGAATTTGGTTTAGCCTTAATTAGTCACTGTGAATATTTCTGAGCCAACTCTGGGAAGTATTTATCTAGAAAACAGTTTTCACTAAAATGTAAGCTGGATACAGGGTGACATTTTCCTAGCAGGCTTTGTATCATGCTCACTGGGTTAAGGATTTGCTCCAGCCATCTGGATACTTTAGCCACAAGCTCATCATCATTATATTGCTTAATGACTTATTACTCCTAATAAAAATTATATATAAATGTGTTTTTTCTTTTCTTTCTTTCTTTTTTTTTTTTTTTGGTACCGGGGATGAAACTCAGGACCTTGTGCTTGGCAGGCAGGCGCTGGAACCACTGATCTAAATCCCCGGCCCCAAAATTATATATATATATATGTGTATTTTTTGAGTTAGGGTCTCGCTTTGTAATTTAGGCTAGCCTTGAACTCACTATGTAGCCCAGGCTGGTCTCAAACTCACTTCGATCCTCCTGCCTCAGCCTCCGGAGTGCGGGGATTACAGGAATGCCCCACCTCACCCAGCAAAATATTACAATATTGAGGCCATCTGTGTCACCATCTAAGCTCTGTGAGTAGCTGCAGGACTTTAGAGTGTGAATATTTTTTGGAGAAAAGATGATGCTTATAGGTTATTCTCATGCAGGCAATTGATGCGTTTTTTAAATCCAGCAATTTTTCAGAAAAACAACCTCAAAAAATACCGGACAAATGAAAAACAGACTTCAGCAGTTACATGCTGCTTCCTGAGTAACTGAAGAATGTGCTTCTTGTGGTTAAAATGAGGGATCTGTTTAATATGGATGAAATACCAACACTCCAGGCATTTTCATTGATATTTCACTGTGACTTTTTGAACTTAAGAGTGCTGACACGAAACCCTATTCTTTCTGCTCTGCGAAGCCTACAGTCGGATTGCAGAGCCAGGGCAGGAGAGGTAACAGGCGACGTCGGGGTTTATCCTTTCTCGTTACATACTCTTCTGCTAGCACTTCATTTTCACTCACACTGTTGCATTCCCTGTTTTCCAGGATTCCGTCTCTGAACCCGGTTAGGGGTTCACCGACCCAGGTGAAAACCTTCGTTTTAGGCATTTCTGAAGACTTTCCAAAGGTCAAGGGTCATTGTGTATCTTGGAACCAGAAGCTTCCCAGAGTGGCCGGGCAGAGCCCTGTGCCCGCACCCGGGGCAAATCTGCAGAGTCTCGGAGTTAAGGGGTTCAGGTGAACCCCTCTCTTCTGCTCTTCCCGGTCGGTGCCCGCCGAGCTCGGCTCCGGGGCAGCCCTCCGGTCTGGCAGAGGCTCGGGAAAGACATGCTGTTTTGTTTAAATCCTCCACATTCTTTGCCATTTCCCCATTGGCCGGATGGGGCTACGCTCCCCGCCGCGGCCGCCGCTGATGTCAGCTTCGTCGCGCTCGCTCCTCCCGCCCCCACCACGCCGGCCCCAGGCTCACTGCAGCTCGGCGCGACTGCCGGGCCCGGCGAGGCGGCTGCAAACTCGGGGCGCTTGCGGCGCTCGCGGAGCCGAGGGCTCGGGGGAGGGGACGCGCGGAAGGCGCCAGCCAAGGTCGGAGGCACCGCGGCCCCAGCCGGGCAGAGCCGAGCAGAACCGAGCGGTGGCGGCGGCGGCGCTCGCTCTGCCCTCTTCTCTCCCAGCCGAGCCCCGGAGCGCTCGGGGACTGGCCCTAAAAAGAGCAGGAAATCTGTTTACCGCCCGGGGAGAGGAGCCGTGCGAGCCTTTGTCTGGCAAGTCGGCATCTCCGGCTCGGGCTGCGATGTGCTCCTGGTGACATTAGCGCTGGGCGGACCGGCCGGAGCAAGGGGGGGTCGCCAGGTTCAGCCCAACCTCCGGAGGCGGATCGAGCAGGTGACTTTTGTGCATTTGTTTTAATTTGTGGACCCCCCGCCTCTCTCGCCTGCTGCCAGGCATGTCCTGAGCTGGCGGCCGAGCCGAGCCGTCTCCAGCGGGTCTGCCTTCCTCGCTCCCTGACTTTGCAACACCGCGTTCCAGGAGCAGCGACCTCGGCGAGGGAGGAGGCGGGGAGCCCCACGCACCGGGACCCTACCCCTGCCATGCTCTCGGGAGACCCGGAGAGAGCCAGGAGCTGAGCGCAGCGCCCCGGCTGCTCCGCCGGCCGGCTCGAGAGCCCTGCCCCGCGCCCGGGCAGCAGCCGTGTCGATCTGGGGCGCTCCCCTCCCGCTGCCCGCCCCTGGGGTCCGCGGCCGGCTGGACCATGCTGCTGAAGGAGTACCGGATCTGCATGCCGCTCACCGTGGAGGAGGTAGGCGCCGCGCCCGGCCTCGCCCACTGCCGGGCCCCGCCGCCGCCTCCCTGCCGACCGGTCCACTGCGGGCGGGAGGGCGTCGGGGAAGCCCGGGTGGAGCCCCGAGCCCCGGGGATGCAGGAGCGGGCGCAGGGGCGGGAGGCTGAGGGGTTGCTGGTTCCACTTGTCACCCTGGCGGGGAGGGCGGCGTTGCGTGGGCCGGTGGGCTCCAGGTCGGCTCTTTGGAGGCACCCAGAAACCAGATCGCTGGGGAATCACAAGGCGCCAAAGGGATCCGCTGCGCCCCTCCCTCCAGTTCCGACGGGAATGAAGCAGCCCCGAGAGTCCGGGCGCGCTCCGTGGCTGCGGAGCGCCTGCCTGGGTCGTGGGCCCAGCCTCCCCTGCCCGCCCTTCCCGTAGGTGGGCGCGCGGGGAGAAGCCCTGCGCCCGGGGGATCTGGAGGCCCCGAGCCCCGCAGCGGGGCCCCTCGGACCCCTAAGGGGTTCGTGCGCGCCCCGATTTCTCATTGTCGCTGCTGGTCCTCGCGCCGCTCCCGCCACGCCTGCTCATCGAGGTTCCGGGACCGGGCTTGTCCCTTTGCAAACCGCCTAGCTCGGAAACTTTGTGCGTCTCTAGTTCCTCCACCGGGGGAGCGTGGTCTGCGGGCGAGCCCCGAGCGAGCGGCGGGGGCTGCGGTGCGGCCACACGAGGGCGCCTTAGCCCTGGGTGCCGCCGCGGCGGGTTGGGAGTTCGGGGCAGGCGCTCGGCCTCCACGCGCAGCCCCTGGACGATTCTCCCAGTCTCCCGAAGCAGCAGGGAGCTCTATGGTCCAGGAAATGGTGACTCAGCGAGGGTTTTTCTGGCCCGGGCTTCCCTTTCGTTCCCCCCTTTCCTCCTTACCTTTTTGGTGATTTCACAACCGCTTGGCGTCTGTCTGAGGACCGCGAGGGAGCGCGAAGCCAATCAAGGCAATTTGAAACTCAGCAGTGTGGTTTGGTGTGGCAACAAATAAAATCAGAGACCCAGAGACCCAGACCGTATTTCTATTTAAACACAGTACATTAAATCTATCAGATAATGTTATTGAGCCACTACTTTGTGAAAAGGGCCGGGTGGTTTTGTTTAGACTGGACCGAGGCTGGGCTCACAAGGGGCTATCTTCGTTTGTCATCTGGAACGAGCCTGAAGCCTGAATGCAAGACGCTAGGACAATGCAGAGTGAGATCGAAGTAGCCCAGAGTTTACCAAACGTTTCACGGGGACACTGGCGCGGCAAGGCCAGTCGAGCTTTGGAGTTGGTTGGGATCTGAGGAGGTAGTAGCATCTGAGCGGGGTCTGGAAGGATGCAAGCCATGTGGGTAGCAGAGTTTGGGGTGCATCCAACCTTGTAAATGGAGAAGCAGCACACAACTTTGTGGAGAAAGAGGAAGGCAGATGAGCGGAACTGGTGAACTGGAGTGTTTGCAGAAAGGCTGGCGTTCTTCCCATCAGTGGGCGGCGGATCTTGGATCTCGGGTGGTTCAGATGGGGCTGGGTAACTGCTCCTCTGTCCCTTCCTGGGACTGCATTGGTGGGTAGAGTCGGGAATTTGGGGGCAACGTTGGGACTGCATATAGTACACAAAACAATGCAAGACATAGGCAAGAAAAGAACCAATTCTAGAATCTTCTCGTCTACCAACAAAGTCTCTTTATCCTGTTGCTTCTCTTCTCGGACTTTTTAAACAGAGCACCTCCCTGCCTTTTTTTTTTTGTTTTTTAATACCCACAAGTGAGGTAATCACATTTGAGTGATATAGGTGGAGGCCCTTTCTTAATTGGCCGACAAAATCAGACTCCACCTGTAGGATAATGTGTAATTATAAATTATTTAATGTATAATTCCTTTGGATTAAAATCAGGATGATTCAGTTTGAGTGAAATCATTTTCTGAAGTCCTTTTCTATTTTGTCAGAGAAGCAGAGGGGGCATTTGAGATAGGAGGTTTCAACTCGAAAGAAGTAAGATGAACCACATCAGACGGTGGGTAAGGAAAGTAGGCCCAGCTTGTCAGCTGTTAGACCCCTAGAGTCTGAACTACTAGTGGCCCCATAATCTCCACCTTCCCACTTTGCCCTGTGTCCCGCTGACCTGAACACTGAAAACCGGGAGCGACATCAGTCTTCCACCAATTTAGATAGACTTTTGGGTGCTTAAATTTTGCTTCACTCCTTGATTCACATTGGACCTGATTGAGCCTGCGTGGAACTTCTGGAACTTGTTCCTGTTTAATCAATTAGTAACACTCTCTGAGTTTTTGCAAATGAAGCAAATGCCTGTGTCAGTGTCTGTTCTTTGTCCCTGGCCTGCAACCATTTTTCCATTTCACTCTCTCCTGCGGTGGGGAGTAGGTAACTGGTGTGTTATTATCCACATTTAAAAGATGTGTGTACTGAGGCTCAGGAGGGTTAATGTGCTTCAGGCTACACAACTAGTTAATAGCCAAGCTGAAAGGAGAGCCTTGTTCTACCTCATTATTTGCCTTTCCTTGCTTGCTCTTTTCCATCACTAGTATTTAATACAGGAAAAGGAGAATCCGTTCTTGAAAACAGATAAAGTGAGCCCTATCAACTAACCAAAAAAATCAGAGGCCTCTGAATTGTTCTAGATAGTTCTGGCTTCTATGATTTCTCTAGCCTTGTTTTAACACTTGAAACGTTCCTGAAATGTTTCCAGGAAAAAATAGCTCAAGAGATAAGGAAAATAAAACTGAGCTACAGTCTAGGTCAGGATGTTGGTAGGTTGTGTGCTTGTGTGTGTGTGTATTTGTATTTAAACATTAATTTCAGGGCTAGGGGTGTAGCTCAGTGGTAGAGTGCTTGCCTAGCATGTGCAAGGCTCTGAGTTCCATGCCCAGCACTGGAAAAAGAAATTTCAGAATAAAGAATTATGAGAAGTAACATTGTATGGAATAATTTTAATTTAAAAAAAACCCTCACTGGACGTTGTCTCCTTGTTTGTGTTATATTTGGACTTCTCTGAACTAAATATAAGCCCGTTGGAAAGTTATGAACAGAGAAGGTCCCTGGGGCGTATTGGTTGCTATAAAGAGAAAATTGTCATTGTCTTCATTTGAAACATTTGGTGACATAGATCCTAGCATTCTAGGCTTGGAAGAGCTGTTTAGTGGAAATAGTTTGTAGATGAGCCATTTCATTTTACAGAGCACTGTAGGCTGTCCAAGGCTCAGCTGGTTGTCTCATGGCCAAGGGCAGAGTCCAGGCTGGAATCCAGGTCCTCTGATGTGAAGCCATTTGACTGTAGGCAAATTTCTCTTGCCGTTAGGATTCTTTGTTGGAAGAAAATATTATCCCTAAGCCCTCTGTGTAGAGCAGGTGTGCTGGGCAGACCCTGGTGGGAGGTGACTTGGGGACCCTGACTCTGTTTACCTAGGGGATTCCCAGGGGTAATCCTATTGGAAGGGTGGCCATGGGACTCTATAGTTGAAGCTGCTTTTGTATAAGGAGCTCACTGGTTGTCCTTTGATGGTATGCTTTTGGGGGTGGACTTTGGATGTGTGGTAGAACTCAAGACCTCCCGATCCCGGCTATTCCTTGGGGCTGTAGTGGGTCCCAAGGTCTTACTCACCATCCTCAGCATTCTCTGAAGCACAGTCTGATGATTACCCCTCCCTGGCAGAGTGTTTATTTCCAAGATAAGCATCAAGAGATAAGCACATCCTAACCTTATCTAAGGCAGGGATCCTTTGTTTCATTGCTTTCTTTTATTTCTCTTTTCTAAGTACTAGAGACTGAATCCAGGGGGACACTATCACTGAGCTATACTCCCAGCCCAGCCCCATGTGTATATGTATGTATGTATGTATATATGTACGTATGTTTGTATGTATGTATCTATCTATCTGAACATAGTCTTGCTAAATTGCCCAGACTGAGCCAGGTGTGGTAGTGCACATCTGTAATCCCAGCACTGAGAAAGCTGAGGCAGAAGAATTGCTTCAAGTTTGAGGCCAGCCTGGACTACATAGTGAGTTCAAGACCAGCCTTTTTGACATAGCAAGAGCCTGTCTTTAAAAAAAAAAAAAAATGTAAATTGCCCAGGCTGGCCTTGAATATTTGAGTCTCCTACCCCAGCCTACTAAGTAACTGGGATTACAGTGTGCACCACCATACCAGGCTTCTTTCTTTTTTCATTTTTTTCCTGTTTAACTGTTCCCATCTGACTGTATTAACATTAATTTGTGTACTTTTAGGGATTTACTTGCGGTCTGTAGGGATTTGGTGCACCATAAAGGAAAATAGAAACACTCTCCTCCTCTTCAGGAAGAGGAGCAAAAGAAAAGGAAAACAACTTTCCATACAGAATATTATGTTGTTCTTTAGCCTGGCAGGGAGCCAGCGCACTTTATCCAGGCTCCTCTGGAGAGCTTTCTTACATGCGTTTCTGAGAACAGATTTGGGATCGGGGAGTGCCACCTCTTGAGTGATGAGAATGGAGATGCCAAAATGCTCAGCAGCGCCCCTTGTTCTGGATTTAAACGATTTATTATGAAACACATCTGCAAACAATGTGGAGCACAAGTCCCAAAAGGACAGATTTTGAGCTTGATATTGGCACCGGTGCGGTTTCTGGTACAACACGATACCTTTGTATATGAAGCATAAATGTTTTTTAAAGAAAGTATTTTTTTTGACTCTGTGTGTGTGGTTTTTTTTTTCCTCCAAAATTTCCGATTGTTAGCCTAGTTAAGAGGGACTGCAGCCAGGGTCATGAGTTTGGTTTCTGGATGATGAAAGTAGCTTCCTGTGCCTGTTGCGCAGCCAGAGGCCAGTGTTCCTGGGGAGCCCAGCTATCTCGAAGAGGTGGGGTTTGGGGAAAGAAGGGCGGGTGAATGGCTAAGTGCAAAGCTTTCACCACTAATGGAGCGGAGAGGGCCAGATGCTGCCCGCTGGCAGGTCGGTGCAGTGGACTTTGTGCATGAAGGCTGCTGTTTCCCTGTGACTGGAGTGTGATGCCTGGTGCAGAAACACATTCCACACCCTGAGGGGGAAACGCACACTGTCGTTAACAAACCCTAGTTAAATGTGGTAGTAATTTTTTTCTCCCCTGTACTGGAAATTGAACCCAGAGCTTCTTACATGCTAGGCAAGTGCTCTACCACTGAGCTACATCCCCAGGCCTTTTTAATTTTTATTTTGAGACAGGATCTCCCTGAGTTTTCCCAGGTGCCCTTGAACTTGGGATCCTCTTGCTTCAGTCTGCCAAGTAGCTGGGATCACAGGCATGCACCCCTGTGCCCAGTGTTTTGTTTTCTTATTACATAAGACAACTAAGGTAAAAGTCATCCCGGGAGCTGGGCCTGGTGGTGCACGCCTATAATCGCAGCACTCTGGAGGCTGAGGCAGGAAAATCACTGTGAGTTTAAGTCCAGCCTAGACTACGTAATGAAACCCTCTCTCAAAAAGCCAAAGAAGAAAAAACAGTCAGAAATCCTGCATCTGATTGAATACGTATTACTGTTATTCAAAGAAAAGCAAATAATCCTTACTTTAGAAAGGCAATGATTTCAGTTATTTCAAGTAAATAGAGAATACTATTTTTTGTAGGCAGTTTTTTTCTTTTTGGTACTGGGAATCCAACTTGGGACCCTGCGCTTGTGAGGCAGGTGACGGCACCACTGGGCTACATCCCTGGCCCTGTAGGGAGGTTTTTAAACTTTAAATTTGATTAATTAATTTTTTATTGTGGAGATTGAACCTAGGGCCTTTTGCATGCTAAGCAAGCATTCTGCCACTGAACTGCACCCCCATCCCCTATGGGACAGTTTTCTCTTTCTTTCCCTGTTTTTGGTACCAGGGATCAAACTCGGGTCCTTGGGCTTGCAGGCAGGCAGCAGCACCACTGAGCTAAATCCCCAGCCCTCTTTCCTTTTTTTTTTCCTCTTTCCTTTTTTTTTAAAAACAGGATGCCATGTAGCCATGCTGGCCTTGAACTTATGATCCTCCTGACTCAGTCTCCCAAGTTCTTGGATTACAGATGTGTCACCATTTCTGGCTCCTGTAGGCAGTTTTTAAAACATTCATACACTCTCAGTGGTCAACCCAAAGTCTGCCCGTCCTCCCAGAGTGTTAATTAAGGAAGTGTGTATGGTGGAGGGGTCACAAAGTGTTTTTCTTTTTTTAATGTAAAAGTGTGTGGACAATGACAGTCCCCAGGTTTTTTAGGAGCAGAAATCACTAGAAAAGTTCATCCACATTCACTGCTTCAGTTTCCTGTGTGAGCAATGCAGGTGCCCCGGCTAGCCTGCATGGGCTTTGGTTTGTTTGCTGCAGCTTGGGGTCTGTGTGGCTTTATAGGCAGCTGTGAGGAGAGAGAGGGAGGAAAGATGATCCAGATGCAATATGTATGTACCAATCCCCAAGCTGAATAATTATTATGTATTGCAAATGCATAGCAATAAAACATTTTTTAACAAACCCTTTTGAAAACTAGGTAACACTTCTGCCCCTATTTAGATAAAGAGCTGAGTTCTAGAAATCAGCTGATTAATAGTGAGAAGTCAGGAAGGTTGCAAGCATCTTTTAGCAAATTCAGTCCACTGGGAGAGGAAAGCGAATTTCAGAATGCAGATTGCCAGCTACTTACCCTGTCTTACCCTGGAAATGAGGAATTTTGTGGGATTCCTAGAGGAGGTTTTTTTTGGGTAGGTTACAAGAAGGATGAAGCCCAAGTGTATTGTAAGTACTAAAACTACAAATCAATCACATCTGGAAAGTTTAGCTTGAAAAAATTATCTTGGAAACTTTATTTTTTGTTGTTTTTATACTAGGAATTGAACCCATGGCCTTCACACTGAGCTACAACCCCAGACCTTTTTAACTTTTTATTTTTTGAGATAAGTTTTGCTATGTAGTTCAGGCTGGCCTTGAGCTCATTATGTAGCCTAGGTTGACCTCAGAGGCGATCCTCCTGCCTCAGCCTCCCAAGTGCTGGAATTATAGGTGTGCGCCACCATGCCTGGCTACGATCCCTAGAACCTTTTTAAATTTTGAGACAAGGTCTTGCTAGGTTGCCAGGTTACCAAGGGTGAGTTGAACAGGTGATCTTCCTGCCTCAGCCTCCCAAAGTACTGGGATTACAGGCATGCGCCTCCATACCTCCATAAAACCTGTAAGTTTTATTTTTTGTGCAGTATACAAACTCCACCCTCCAGAAAGTTACAGTTCATCCAATCTATTACAGCAGCACACACCTCCAGGGGCGCTATTTATGTGGAACCCAATGGGAATGGAAACTTGTGATGGGGCTTCAAACCAACTGCCTTTGCTCTGACTCTCCCAGCTTCTGCCACTGTCATGTGCCAAAACTTGAATGTTTTAGAGTAAGCTTGTGAGTTTGTAAGTGCAAATGTCATCTCAGAATCATCTTTCCAGACCACTCCATCTGAAATAGTGTTCCTGTGCTGGGGATGTAGCTCAGTGGTAGAACACTTGCCTACCATGAACAAGGTCCTGGGTTCCATCTCCAGTGCTGCAAAAATAAATAAACAAATGAAATAGCTTTCCCCATGGAAAATAGCTTTCCTCTGTTATTCTCCATGTCCATACCTGTTTATTTCCTTCATAGCATTTATCATGATTTGTACTTGTTTTGTTTTCTTATATGTCATTCATCTCCATCATTATCTTTTCATTATGTAACCCGCATGACAATACCCAGATGATATTTTAGCTTCTTTTTCTTTCATACTAAGTCTGAAATAAAGCATTTGTTTTCCGCTTACGGCACATCCCAGTGTGCAGTGGCCACAGGGCTGACAGGCTGCGTGTGGCTCTGATTCTCGTTGGTCGGTGCAGTTCTCATGCTTAAACCCAGGGCCTGGCAGGGTACATATTTGCTCGATGGATGGATGGGAGGAAGCTAAGAAAACCAGAAATCTTTTAGGAAAGCTGACCCTAACAGTCTTTCTTTATACTGTTTAAATTTTTTTCACTTAAGTTTTATATTGCCTGAAGTTTTACCAGTTAGATATTCCTCCCCTCCCTGCCCCGCTTCCGTGCTGGGGAGTGAACTCAGGGCTTCACAAATGCTAGGCAAGCACTCTACCAGAGGTCTATCAACACCCCTAGATAGATTCTTTTAATATTAAAAACACTTTTAAAATTGCTTGTATCTCTGAGATCAATCATTCCTAGGATTTACTATAATCTGGCTACTTTCCTTCTAACTTCTGGAGGAGTAGATTACTTTTCTACTTACCGTGTAACAAATTGTCAGAAATTCAGTGGCTTAAAACAACAGCCATTTTTCATCTCCCTGTTTCCTATTTGTTTTTTTTGAGACAGGGTCTTGCTATGCAGTTCAGGCTGGCCTTCAACTCACTATGTAGTCCAGGCTGGCCTCGAACTCGTGGTGATCCTCCTGCCTCAGCCTCCCAAGTGCTAGGATTGCAGGTGTGCGCCACCACACCCGGCTGGATACTTACTCTTGCAGGAGGTGAGTCCTGCACAGATATCTGGCAGATGTTCCTCTTTAAGACTTCCGATTGTGGGCTTTATTCCAAAGGCGGCTAGCTGGCTATTTAAGCTGGGTCGGTCTCTGCAGTCTGTCGAGGATGGCAAAAATCCCACTAGGCTAGGCAGGGCTAATCTCCCAGGATGGCAGATGGTGTTGGGGGAGCCCTGCTGCAAAGGATATATGACCTTGGGCACTGGCTTCACAAACAGCGACAGAGAAAGGAGTCCGGGTCACCCACCACTTCCTGGCTGGCTGCCTGAGCAATATTGTGTAACGCTGTTTGTTGACTTAGAAACACTAGTTAGAGCTCACCAAGATTTTGACAGCAAGTATTGAAGTGACTCATTCTTCCATTTCCCAGCACTTTGACAGAAGGGGTTTGCTCTAAAAACTCCATGGAGATT